AAAGTTTTGTCTTTCCAAGATCTTTCATCTCAAATTCTTTCTTAAGATATTCAATTGCCTTTTGGAGCTCTTCTGGAGTTCCAACAAGATTTATGTCATCGACATAAACAGCAAGTATAACAAATTCTGATGCCATTTTCTTTATAAAAATACATGGATAAATAACATTATTTATTTAACCTTCTTTCAGCAAATATTCACTAAGGCAATTATACCACATGCGCCCAGATTGTTTTAAACCATACAAAGATCTTTGTAATCTGATTGAATACATTTCCTGAGATTTTGCTTCAGGCATTTTAAATCCTTCAGGGATTTTCATATAAATTTCATTATCAAGTGAACCGTACAGATAAGCTGTAACTACATCCATTAGATGTATTTCAAGCTTTTCATGTAGTGCTAAACTGATGAGATATCGAAATGTTATGGCATCCATAACAGGTGAATATGTTTCATCAAAATCGACTCCAGGTCGTTGTGAGAATCCTTGTGCAACAAGGCGAGCTTTGTATCTTTCAACTTCATTTTTATCATTCCTTTTTTGCACAAAAACCCATTTATGACCAACTGGTTTTATACCAGCAGGTGTTTGGACTACTAGTCCAAAGACCTCTCTTTTAGCAAGTGACTTCAATTTCGATTGAATTGCCTCTTACCATTTTGGCCAATCAGTTCTTTGTCGACATTCTTCGACAGATCGAGATTCAAGATCATCACTATTTTGCATAATATTAAGTGCAACATTATATGCAAAAATATTATCCACCACTATTTCAGATCGCTTTAAATTAATCTCATCACCGATCGAACTTATTAAAAGTTCCTCACTCACATGAGCTTCGGGTTCATTGATTTCTTCAGGAATCTTAGAACTAATCAGATTTTGGGTCTCTTCAGGAGATCTCTTCATAGTATCGTTTTGATCATTTGTGGATTTTCTTTTTCGAGGATTTCAATCCTTAGAACCCAAAGGCCTACCACGCTTCAGGCGTGCTTTAGGTTCACTATCTCTCATGCTAGTAGATGGTCCTACTGGGACATCAATTCGGATAACCACATTCTCTGCTGGGAAATGCGACTTAGTTATCCTTTTCAAATCAGTAAATGCGCC